AACCAGTGTTGCGTGGGAGCTTCAGGACAGGGGGCTGGTGGTGTGTGTGTGTTTGCAGGAGTCAGGGGAGGGGGGTAGGAGGATGTGGGGGGGGAGAGGAGAAGAGGTAAAAGTGAGGGTTGGGGGGTGTAGGGCAAGGGGCCCATTTGGTACACAGAATTTGGAGGGGCTAATACCTAGGTCAGTGTTGGGCAACCTGAGGCCCATTGGGGTTCTATGTGTAGTCCGCAAGACATTTTGTTTATCCTTGCCCATGTGCAAGATTCTACTGGTTTCCATCCACATAGGTTTTTTCCTATCAGTATTACTAAAGTAACACACATGTAAAGCAAGAGAACGTGAAGAAAGATGCGTGTTGACTGCGCACACCATTGACTGTGAGAGCCATGCATTCCCTCTACATCCAATCAAAGCGCTATTACGCTTCAATCGGCAGACCCTGCAAATTCTAGATATGCAAGCACAGTTAACGAAACTACCCTATATTCCAGATACGACAATCCTGCAGACCACTGAGATCAAGGAGGGCCATTTATTAGCCTAGGTTGCCCATTGCTGCTCTAGGTGATAGAAGCCTCACTTGAAATCTATGCTATAACAAAAGAAAATGTAATACTGTAAGTATAGCATGTATACGAAATGCATTAATTGGAAAGGCTCCTGTTCACTAATTCTTTAATAGTCAGGGATGTCTGTCTTTCGGTCTAGCAGATGATATCAAAATGCAATAAAAATATTTTATATAAGAAGATTATCTTAATGATATTCAAACAACTGACAGTTGTATTACCTTCACCTTCTTGATAAAATGACAGCATATGGAGCATGTACACGTGGACAGTTTATTTCTCACCTTTTTATCCCCTCTGTTTTCGGATTCCCTCTGTCTGAGGCTTTTTAAGCGCCTTGGTTGTGGACTGGGGACTTCTTGTAGTAAAGCACTTTCTGCTTTCGACTAAGAAGAACAAACAGAAATTCTGATAATATATGAGTAATTTTTACCAATTCTTAGAAATTCAATGTCTTACTACAGGTAATATTAAATGAAAGATATTTTAACTGTATAACCATATTAAATTATTACAAAGAGACAGATTCTGTTTCCATTTATCTTACTATATATTTTTAAAATGTGCATCTGTGCATCTATCCTTCTGTAACTCTGTTCAAGAATTCCTCCTAAATGGTAAGAGCTAGGACCATGAAATTTGGTATGCAGCTTCCTCTTATTATAATTTAAATCCAGGCCAGGGTTTGGAATTTGATTGTTCTCATACAATGGAAAGAGAGGGGTCTAGTAGGAAGGCATTATACTGTAGAATGACCACAGAAAAGGGCACCAAGGAGCCAGAGATGGGGACTAGGACAGCTATAACCCCATTGGACCAGCAGGTGGGGGGAGGCTATCTACTATATATTTCAGTGATTTTGCCTGTTTGTCCACCAGCTGGGGAACATGCACCTCTACCCCGCTATGCCTGCTGAAGCAGTCATGGACAGGTGCTTCTCACTTGGCCCCAAGGTTCTGCTGTGAGAAAGGGCTGTGGTTGTCCTCTTTCCAAGGGGTTGCCTGCATCCTGAACCACTCATCACCAGCCCCACCCCAGAGCAATGATATAAATGAAGAAAAATAAAACACTTTTGAGTTAAGGATCCGAGCAATGCCAGGTAAATCTTCTAGTAACAATATACAATAATTTTCTCCAAAAGTAGCCCCAATAATTTCAACAAGACACTAGCACGGAAAATATTCAACATGAAAGTGGTAAGATCTGACTTACTGTTAAAATGGTAAGATTTTTCTAAACATTAGTGTTTATATTACAAAAAAGAATTTAACTTGTTTAGAAAATAATATTGAAATCATCTACTAGGAACTAATCTGTACAATAAATATATGATATTAACAGAGTTACAAAGGCTAATTTAATTCATTCAGTTATGCAGCACAAAACAAGAAAGATTGATTACATTCTCATAAATCCTATAAAATAAAATATAATCCTTTATAAATGCTCTCACCCTTGCAGCTTTTAATTTTTCTCTCATCCGTTCCCTAATGGAAAATTCTGCAAAGCTTGTTGTTGATGTAGAAGGGACAGGAGGCAAACCTGAAACAGAAAAATCACAAAAATCTAGAGTTACAGGTTTTTGGTGGCAGAATCTAAAATTGTCATAAAGGCTTGGTATTCAAAATATGCACAGGATGTGGAAATATCCATTTCCAACAGAAGGACTTCAAACTGAGAAAACATTAATATATACACATTGATTTTAACAAAGAAATTTCCACGTATCAAAACTTACAGGCTAGCAGTTTAACTCCTTTAGCCCAGCCAGATCTGCCTTTGGGTATGTCTACACTACCCCGCTAGTTCGAACTAGCGGGGTAGTGTAGACATACCCTTAGATATCAGGCTGAAGGGTAGTTAGTACAAGAGCTAGCTTTGCTCACTCGGGGTACGGTTAAACTACAAGTTTTTGTCGGAAAAAAGTATGCAAAATATGCTCTGCATTTGTGTACCTTTTTCCGATTCTTTTGTCGGAAGAGGCATCTACACTGGACCAAATGTCGGAAAAAAAGCCCCCTTCTTCCTCGTAGAACAAAGAATACAAGGGCTTCCGAAAGAGTGCATTTGCTTTTCTGCAAAAAAAGCAAAAGAACAAACGTGATCCCTGGACACAGCGGAGTTTTTTTGGGAGGGTATGTCTACACTACCCTCCTAGTTCGAACTAGGAGGGTAGTGTAGACATACCCTTTCAGAATTAAAGTCAAGTAAAATGTATTAGATCTGACCCATCCAGAGTATAACGCATCAACATTTCTTTCCATTAAATAACTGTTAAATGATGTGTGCTATATTCTGTAGATCTGAGTTCGCCAGCTCTAATTTTATATGGTATTATATATAAATAATAATGATTAAAGGTATACCCTCCAAGACAATTCCAAAATAAACATTAAAACAAGATACCCATTGTCTGTGTTAATCTTTATTCAAAGCTATTATATACAGCTACAAAACGAACTAAAATCATATTTTTTGTATGTAATGCTATAAAAAAAAATCTAGCGCCTCACTATCAGAAGGTAGCTGGCTTTCTGAAAGGGCCAAGGGCTCAGCCCACCTCTGACAGATTTCATAAAGGGGAATTAGGCAATTCAGGTTCACCTGGGACTAATGATCTCATTGGGGCATTTAGACAGTGAAGCACCTGGGTATGATAAAAGACAATTACATATAGTAGTGCAGCAATGGGCCACGAAAAATAATGAGTGGGCCACGAGTGTGGCCCACCATCTCAGTGGGTCACAACAGCCCCATGGCTCCCCAGTATGCTCCCCGCCCCCATGTGCCTCTTGTGCAGTGGGGCACCGGAGCCTTGCAGTTCCTATTCTTCCCCCATGCTCGGGATAGACAAGTCCCTATCTCACCGAAGGTCGATGACCTGACGGCTACTCTCAACCTGGTTTAGCCAGCCTGTCGAAGCTGTTGCCCGGGGTGTGGCCGCTACACATGCTACAGCTACTAGGAGCCACAGGTGAGAGTTGAGTGACAAGTGGGGACCAAAGGTGGACGAGCTGCCCTAAAAACCAGGTTGAGAGTAGCCGTCGGGTCATCGACCTTCGGTGAGATAGGGACTTGTCTATCCCGAGCATGTGAAGACAGACTCCGGCGGATCGAGCGGATGAGACCTACTAGAATAGGACCAACGGTCATGAAGGTGGTTTCTGCAAGCGATGTGGTACGCTAAGAGCACGGCAAGACATGAAAGATGCCCTGGTCAACCACTGCGCCCAGCCCATCTCCAACCGTCTCGACTTTAGTCCTGCCATTGGAGTAAGATGGAATCTGGGAAGAGAGAGTGAGGCTGACTATGCGCACCTCTCCCTCACTTTAATCCAATTCACGCGCAAGTCTTGACATCTCGACATCTCCTAAGTCCTGTGGCGACGGGCGAGCGACGAAGCAGCAGGTGTGGATACACTGGGAGCTGTAGCCGCGGACCTGCACACAGGCGGCTCAGGTCTAATGGTCGTCTTCTTGCTGGTGGAAGCAACAGCTGGATTCGGCGTCTACCTGAGTGACTGAGCAGCCCTCTTTAGGATTGCACTGCTCACCTCCGTAGTAAGAGGAAGGGGCTAGAAAAGGTGCCCTAAACATTGTTTGCTTCACAGAACCCTGGCCAGCTTACCGCGGCTGGAGGGGATCCCATCTCATGCGGTCGAACAATAAAATTTCGAACAAAATGCAAGGTGACACCACTCACTATTGGCACATGGAATGTACGCACGCTTCAGGACAACCCTTCAGCAGACCGCCCAGAAAGAAGAACAGCCCTGGTCGCCAGAGAGCTCACAAGATTTAACATCGATATTGCGGCACTGTGTGAAACTCGTCTAGCAAATGAAGGTCAGCTCATGGAAACAGGAGGTGGTTACACATTCTTCTGGCGTGGACGCAGCAGTGACGAACGTCGTGAATCTGGAGTTGGCTTTGCGGTTAAGAATCATCTTGTCCGCAAACTTGCCAGTCTTCCCAAGGGCGTGAATGACCGACTCATGACACTGCATCTTCCACTACCGAGAGGAAAGCAAGCCACACTGATCAGCGCTTACGCGCCCACAATGACGAATCCGGATGAAGTAAAGGACAAGTTTTATGAAGATCTCGATGCCCTACTCTCATCCGTGAAGCGCACTGACAGGCTGATTCTACTTGGCGATTTCAACGCGAGAGTAGGATCTGATCACACTGCCTGGGATGGCGTCATTGGAAAAAATGGAATCGGTAAATGTAACAGCAATGGCCTACTATTACTGAAGACATGTGCGGCTCATGATTTGATCATCACCAATACCATCTTCCGCCTGCCCACTCGCAAAAAGACGTCCTGGATGCACCCACGCTCTAAGCACTGGCATCTCATTGATTATGTCATTGTGCGGAGGAAAGACAGACAGGATGTAAGGGTGACCAAGGCCATGCCGAGTGCTGACTGTTGGACTGACCACAGACTTATCATCTCCAAATTAAGCTTTCGCATCAAGCCAAAGAGACGTCCGCAGGGAAACAAAGCTGTGATGAAAAAGATCAATGTCAGTAGACTGAGGAACCCCAACACAGCAACTTTACTAGCAGAAGATCTTGGCAACCAACTTTTAGAGCTGCAATTAGAGGAAAATGCTGAGAAGGACTGGGAACGCTTCCGGGATATTGTGCACTCTTCTGCACTAAAGGTTCTTGGACCCTCACACAGGAAACAGCAGGACTGGTTTGATGAAAACGATGAAGAGATCAAGGCCATACTTGCTGAAAAGCATCGCCTTCACCGTGCTCACCAGAATGACCCATCGTCAACAGCTAAGAAAAATGCCTTCAACAACATTCGCAGGATCGTACAGAACAAGCTTCGTAAGATGCAGGACTCCTGGTTGAGTGCCAAAGCAGATGAAATCCAGAAGTTTTCTGATAGAAACGATGCCAAACGGTTCTACGAAGCCCTTAGATCCTTGTATGGACCTCAGCCCTCAGGGAGTTCCCCTCTACTGGACTCAGATGGTGCAACTCTCATTACTGAGAAGGCTCTGATTTTACAGCGTTGGGCTGAGCACTTCCAATCCGTACTGAACCGCCCATCTTCCATCAATAACGAGGCGATTGATAGAATGCCCCAGGCGGATATCAACCACAGCCTGGATGTCTCACCATCAGAGACTGAAACCTTACAGGCCATCAGCCAGCTGTCCAGTGGCAAGGCCCCAGGATCTGATGCGATTCCAGCGGAAGTCTATAAGGGTGGTGGTGCAGTGCTTGTCAACAAACTCACTCAGCTGTTCCAGTCCTTCTGGAATCAAGGATCTATTCCTCAGGAACTGAAAGACGCGTCTATCGTACACCTCTACAAGAGGAAAGGAAATCGACAAGTTTGCGATAATCATAGAGGAATATCACTGCTTTCCATCGCAGGTAAGATCCTTGCACGAGTGTTGCTGAATCGTCTGATTAACCACCTGGAACAGGGTTTATTACCCGAGACACAGTGCGGCTTCCGCAAAGAGCGTGGCACGGTGGATATGATCTTCGCAGCCCGACAGCTTCAAGAGAAGTGTCAAGAGCAGAATCGTGAACTGTACACCACCTTCGTGGATCTCACCAAGGCTTTTGACACTGTCAGTCGCGAAGGTCTGTGGCGCATCATGTCGAAGTTTGGGTGCCCTGACAGATTCATCTTGATGGTACGTCAGTTCCACGACGGCATGACGGCTCGTGTTTTGGATGATGGAGAAGCTTCAGAGGCCTTTCCCGTCACAAACGGCGTCAAGCAAGGGTGTGTGCTGGCACCGACCCTGTTCAGCATAATGTTTTCAGCCATGCTGTCAGACGCCTTTCAGAACAGTTCCTTGGGAATCAGACTGAGATACAGGACCGATGGGAAATTGTTTAACCTGCGAAGACTCCAGGCTGTCACCAAGATAAAAGAGACTGTGTTACGAGATCTCCTTTTTGCTGATGACTGCGCCCTGAATGCTGGATCAGAGCAGGAAATGCAAGCCAGCATGGACAAATTTGCAGCAGCATGCGACAACTTCGGCCTTCTCATCAACACAAAGAAAACCGAAGTGATGCACCAGCCAGCTCCAAAAGCTCAGCATCAAGTGCCCACCATCACAGTGAAGGGACAAAAGCTGCAAGCAGTGGACCAATTTACATATCTTGGCAGCACCCTCTCCCGCTCAGTGACAATTGACATCGAGGTCAACTGCAGAGTCGCCAAGGCAAGCTCTGCGTTCGGCAGACTGTTGACCAAAGTGTGGGACCGCCGTGGAATAAGCCTTGCTACAAAGCTTAAAGTCTATTGAGCAGTAGTGTTAACTACCCTGATGTACGCCAGTGAGACTTGGACTGTATACAGGAGGCACGCTAGGCAACTGAACCACTTCCACACGATTTGCCTCCGCAGACTTCTGAGGATCCGGTGGCAGGATAAGGTGCCAGACACAGAATTCCTTTCTAGAGCAGGTCTGCCGTCAGTTTACACCCTGCTGATGAAAGCTCAGACACGCTGGGCAGGCCATGTTGCAAGGATGCCAGATCATCGCATCCCT